AACACCCATTGAGACCACCCTTACCAGCCTTTCTCCCTCTGGCGACCCTCACACCACCACCATTTCCTCCCCTACAAGTTCTACGAGCCTAGAATGAGAAGAAACCCTCACTTCTCTCTCTCCTTCGTTGCGCAATACCTTCACTATGCAAAAAGTAAATATGGTGAGTTCTCACCATTTTATCGACAAGGTAAGCTTGATAACAACTCTAAATATTCGTAGATCATGTTTAGGAGTAAGTTTTGGTAGTTTTTGAAACATGGGTGACATTTGATGCAAAACCAACTCGGGAATCATTCTCCCAGTTTTTCGAAAAAGGATCGTGAGTTGCAGGCCATTTTTCGGTCGATCCCGACCTCGACTCGATCTCATCTTGGTATACTCTTGTTCCTTATCTTTGTATCGTCATTTTGACTTTTGAATCAATGCAAATGGTGTAGAATGGAGCTCGAATGGAGCTCGGGTGGTTCTGCCCAGATTTTGACCGAACCCATAGTTTGAAACCAGGGCGACATAACCCATGACCTATAACCCAACTCTAAACCCAGCCCAAAACCTTGGGCCTATGTAACCCAGGCCCAAACCAGAAATAGGCCCAACCTATTTACTATAACCTAGACCCAATCCAGTTACCTAGAACCCAGGCCCAAACACATATCCGACCCGACCCAAGTTTGAAACCCAGTCTCACGGTCGGCGCATGGGACACATGTGGGTGTGTGTGGGCACGCATGGAACACACGCGTCTCCGCTGAAGGTATTGTGCTCTGCTGTCGTACACAGTGGCAACCACGACGACGCCAACGAATTTTCCAGCAAACTTTCTGGTGACTCAACTCGGCACATGGAGGTTCGTGGCCTTCTAATGGCGGTGCGCGCGGTGGCTCGTGGGGGAACCCGAGGTCCCTTTTTGGGTTTTTCGATGTGCCGAATCTGAATTTACTGTTCGTTTTCCGAAATTTCATTGTTGTAGTAGAGTTTTATTAAATGTATTATCTTTGTGTTTAGGTGCATTGGTTGGAAGTGATCCAGTCCTCCCTAGTTTGAATGGCTCTCCGATAGAGGAGTACTTGTGAGTGAACCCTTTCTAAACTTGCATGTTTTTATAAAATATTAGGCTTGCATGCATTGCATATTTCATGAATGGAGCATGATTTATAATATGTTTTTACGGATTTTCTATATTTATGATTTACGAAGAAATTATGACTTATTTAAATTGCTTTTACGAGATATTTATGATTTATCGAATTTACATTTTACTAAAGGTTATGACATATGGGATTTTCATATATGAAATTCTATGGCTTTTGAATACAATTTGTTTATGGTTTACGAATATGATTTTTCCTGGATTTATGTGATGAGGCTTTGAGCTTTCGAGCTCTGGATTTGATATGAATTTTGAGGTAATATGACACAGTTGAGGATATATGATGTATATATTTCTTCTTCGGCGTAATTTGGAGTCATACAGCTTCACCTTCGGGTGATGAGGCCCACCATGTTTCTTCACTGGCGTAACCCAGTGTCGTACAACTTCACCTTCGGGTGATGGACATGTACTGCCTTCAGGCGACTATGATACCCCTAGAGAGTACAATATTGATAAGATTTATGGATTTGCCTTTGGGTGGCGATAGCACCATTATCGAGCATTGTTTTACACGTACATGTTTTACAATGTTTTTCAATGCATGTTAGAGTTTTCAGAAAATCTATTATGTAGTATTATATTTGTTTCAAAACAGGGGGTTAGTATGTTCATAAAGAAAACAGTTTTCTTATTATTAGTACTATTATTATAAACTTTGGTCCACTCATCTTTTCTGTTTTGCGCCCCCTCAGGAGTTAGAATTGAGGCACGTGATCCCAGCGTCAGGGCATTTCCGCTTAGGCATCTTCGAACCTCTTCTGTGTAGGTCCCATTTCTCGGTTCGTACCTTTCTATAGTAATTCTTTCACATTATTCTTAATTAGTTGTATGCTTTGAACATGGTTCTGCATTAGTATATTCCTTCCTAATCACATATTTTAATTTGGATGCATGTTTAAAATGGTTTTGTCGCCCTCGGGTGTCGGCTAGCACGTGCCTACCATATTTGGGGATATCAGGTTTGGGGCATGTCAGAGAAGAACTCTTTACCTCAACAATAGTATAAAGTTTCGGTTTTCCCATGTCTCCTTTTGTCCTCCTCTTCTTGTTCTTTCTTCAACCTCATCTGTAAGTGTGTAACGAAACAAAGAATGTTAATCCAATCACATAGCAAATACTCTAGCCTCACACCATCACTAACACATCGAGAGATTAGAAAAATACTTGCAACGCTCCAAGTTAACACTTGCTTCAAGCACAAGCAATAAGTAACAAGAATTTCATATGCAACTTTTTCTTAGGTCAAAAAGTTAGCTCCTTGTATGGGGCCACAAAGTAGAAATTTTGAAAGACATAATTTTGGGGTTGTGATATGTAGAGGTGTTAAACGGGCGAGGCTGTGCCATTTAATAAAACATTAAGACTTGGGCCATCATGGGTCGTGCTTTTGCTGAATTAATATGAAAATTGTGCTTGGGTCAACCACCTTAATAAAACATTAAGACCTGGGCCATATTGAGCCGTGCTTAGATCAACTTCAGCAAAACAAACTTTAGTTATTTAAAAATATTAAAGAAATTTATTTAAACATATTTTTAAGCTAAATATCATTAATATTAAATCTTATTAACCTTAAAATGTATATTTATAATTGAAAGATAACGAATAAATGGGATCGTCATAATTGGCCCAGGTTGGCCTGGCCCACCTACCTTTTAAGAATCATGTCGTGTCGTGCCTTATTCAAATGGACTTGGGTCATAGTGCCTTGTTTAAATGGGTCGTGCCTACATCGTGCTCGTATCGGCCCACTTGTTTGATACCTCTAGTGGAGAGACCCTAAAATACTCTTTATTCTTTATACTTTATATGCTTTATTTACAACGTAGAAGAAAACTAGAAAGACTCTTTAGTAAACATTGAACTTGATTCCTGCATTCATTACATTAGGAGCATCTCCAATGTAAAAGCCATAATTACATCTCATTTTAAATTTTCAGAAAATATCTATTGTAGTTCTATTCCAATGAAAGAGACATGACATGCCCGACCCTGATATCCTCCAAACACCAGGGTAGGCACGTTCTGGGTAACACCTGAAGGTGACAAAGCCAAACTAATATGCATGAGAACCAATGAATATAAATAGGACTTATAAATTTAAATATAATTAATATGCAAATGAGGAACGTGTTCAGAGCATACAACTAATCTTGAACACTAAAAAGAAATAATATAAAATTGAATTAACAAAGGAATGGGTCTTACATCGAGAGGACTAGAAGATGCCGATGCGAAAGTGCCTTGACGCCGGGATTGTACGCCTCGATTCTAAGTCCTAAGGGGGCGCAAAACAAAACATGAGTGGACTAAGTTGATATATAAGTAGAACAAACATAGTTATTCCACAACATACTAGCCCCAAAGTTTATGAAAACTAATAGCATAATATGTGATAGGTTTTCCGAAAACCCTAGCATGCCATTAAACCTTTCATAAAACATATATCATATATAGTGTGCTAAATGGTGGTATCATACTCAGCCGAAGGCAAGACATACACCCGTAGGCAGAACAGTGACTGCTAGATAAGCGCAAAAACATTGTATATAATCTTTCCAACTTAAGTACATATATCTCAATGGAGCTCAGTAACTCAAACATCATATCTCAAAACATCTTCTTAGTATATAGTCATTCATCATATATACTACAAAGAACATGAAATCGATATAGCATGGTATTCCAAAATATTCTCAGTTAAACATGATATCTCATAAAAAGTAAAATCTAATTTACTCATAAAACGTTTCATAAAATGTAACCATTAAATCATGTTTTTCATGTATGCATTTCTAATAGCAAAATTATGCATTTTGGAAAAGGTCCACTCACATATACTTTGTTGTCGAAAAGCCATGCAAACTAGCGAAGACGAAAATGCCACAATAAATGCACCTAAGCACATAAAGGGTCCAATTAACAAAACTTTACTCAAACGATTGAATTTCGGGAAACGGACACATAACGGATTCAGGACGTCAAAATTAGGCTAAAGGGCCGGGTAGTGGTTTGGGTTTAGGCCTAGAGTTTGGGTCCCATGGGTTAAGGGTTTTGGGTTACTTACTTGGGTTTGGGCTAGAGTTAATGAGCCTATGGTTTGGGCCTAATGGGTTGGGCCGACTGTTTGTGCCTGGGTTGGTTTGGGCTCAGATTGAATTTGGGCTTGGGATTGGGTTGGTCTAAGTTTGGGTTTGGGCTTGGGCCTGGGAACAGGGTTGGGCGCGACCCAGTTTCCTTCGCAGGTCGCCAGAGTTCAACTGAAGGGAAGGCCGGGAAGTTTCCCCAGCTCCATTTAGGGTTAAATATCAACTATTTTCAATGATTTCTGAACCAAAATGAAGCTAGAAACATGGAGAATAAATCCGTTCCAAAACGAAGTTGAGTTATCGTTGGAGTGGGTTGGAAATACCTTGCAAAACTCGTGATTTTCGTCGAAAAACTGAGGATGTGTTTTCCCGAGTTGTTTTCTGTTTATAATCCACCCAAAACTCGTTTTTAAGCTCAAGATCGAGTTAGGAATTGAAAAACTACGATGAAATGATGTGGTTGACAGGAACAAGAGAGAGGAAATAATGTAGTGATCTTGCTGTGATGGTAAGGGTTGAGTGTGTGTATGTGTATGTTTGTTCTTAGAAAGGAGATAGTACAAAGAGCGTGAAGAGAAGAGAGAGACATAGACAAAGAGAGTTGTAGAGAATAGAGGTGAGGGTCAAGAAAGAGAGAGAGGTCCATGAGTTGTGTGAGGGGGAAAGGAAAGGCACGGGGAAGTGGGACAAAAAAGGAAAGGGGGCCCTACTTGGCACACCATTTAAGACTCAAATAGTAACCCTTTTAAAATATCTTACAACCCAAAGTGGATTGAAATACGAAAATGCACTTCCGTTCCGTCAATTCTGGGACGGGTTGTTACAAGATTTAAGGTTTGAGTCCCATTTCTGGCGGGATTCACCTCCAAAAGATGTCAAAAATAAAAATAAAAATAAAAAAAACATAAAATTTTTATTTTTATTTGCATATTCCGCCCAAGATGGGTGTTTTACATATCCTTACTAAAGAGTTTTATGGCCAACAAAAAAAATATATAAAATGCCCATTTCAAAGCATCATGAATCTCCCATTGGAGATGCTCCAACTAAATTTAGAAGTAAAGACTATAATTCACCAGATAAACCCAACTAGGGTCACATAATAATACTTGGGTTACTGATACATGCTGTAAATATTGTTTGAACATAACAGAGAAGAACGGCATCGTTTCTATGTATATGCTTTGCACACTCATACAAACATTTGAGCCAAGAATGGCTACTCACAGAAGCAAAAGTTCATAAAACTTAAAAAGTACTTTTTCAGATCATATTGTACAACAACACAGGTTCCAACTAAGACACCCATTTTGTTCTGTCAAAATGGCCTGCCTGACTGGAGCTTTCGGATTGTCATGAGGTATCTGCAAACCTTTGCTTAACAGGTTCTATTCATCTACTTCAGTATTTTGATTCGTCGTTGGCTCTGCTTGATTTGCCTTAACTTGGGCCAGTTCCAGCGTCGAGTTCTGCATCATGATGGCCAAGATATCTTCTCTTTTGACATTTCTGCACGGCCACTCCCATCCGAGCATTGATGTCTTCGTGTTGGCCAAGCTCTTTTCCTGCACCGCTTAGCTGAGCCCTCTTAGTTGCGTTTTCCGAGTGCTCCAGCCCAAGGCACTGCTCCCATGCACGGCCATAAACGTCTCTTCTCTATGGAAAACAAAAACCATGACATTGGAATTAAAGAACTGACAACGCAATACCCAAAACAAAAAGAACTGTAATCGGCCATAGACAAACCTGAAGACGGCTGGAAACAACATCAGAATCATGCAAGTACTCTATAAAACCAAATGACACAAATAAAAACTTCCACTGCACAATCAAAAGGGAAATGGATGAGGAAGCAAACTAAAGAGACATTAATTCCAGCTAGTGATCCTCCAATAAATATAAGGTGTGGTTCACGTACCTCCAAGAACTCATTTTCAGGGACCTGCAATTTCCTTTGTAAGTGTACTTTAACTTCAGCTAAAGTTTCACCTTCACGGATGATCAGGAAGAAAGGTTCCCCGAAGTTGTTTACTTGCTATTTGAAATGTACAAAGAATGTTGAAGAAAATCGTTACAAATAACCACAAAGTACTTGGTGCAAGTGAAACCATTCTCCGTGTTTAATTAAAATAGTAACGCAATATTTTGATTCTGAGAAGAAAAATTTGCATTTAAAATTATCCAAATTTCACTCTCAGATTTAAAAAAAAAAAAAAAAAAAAAAAAATCGAATACCATCAGCTGGTCCTCTGCAGTCTCTTTTGTGAAGTGGTAAACTTGAATCAAGCAATCATGAGGACCCAAGTTTTTCTCTTCTTCTGGAATCTGATACAGAAAAGGTAGAAACAACTCAGCTTCAAAAAGACACTGGGGCAAATCCAGTCCGATAGTAAAGGAATGCGAATAAAAAAACCAAATAAATGGTACAGTTTCTTGCCTATAAAACCAGATTATTGCAGTCCAAATGTTCAAGTGAATCAAAGAAGAAAAAACTCTGTAAAAGAAAAAAAAAACTAAAAATAGAGAAGCCAGAAAGGAACTCACCTCCTCGGCATGCAAAGTCCAGCACCGTTCATTTATGTTGTCAATTTTTTCACTACATGGGATGACCTGAATAGTAAACACGAGAAGTTATGAATGCGCCATCACGTTGAAACACATAACTCAAATAAGAGAACAAAGTATCTCATACAAGCAGTGGAATCATACATGTCAACATCACAAGCACGCAAGCCACAATTTCTGGGAAAAATATGAACAGAAAAAAAGAAGCTAAAACGCTGATACACTTGACATACAAGAACAAGTAATTACCCTATATATCTTGTGATAGTAAACCTGAAGCAATCTGATCTCTGCATTTGGATGAGACAACTGGACCTTTTTCAGGTACATCATACATTGAGTAGAATCAGTTATACACAAATATAAGAGGAAAATGGGAAATCACGGATAATAACAAGTAATAGCGACATATTAGCAATACCAAAATAAAGGGACATCTAACCTTCCTTTTAAGTATATTTATCACATTCCCAACAGTGCTGTGTTTGGGCAATCTAATATTGTGAATCTCCAACTGCAAACAAATTACAAAAGATTATGATGAGTAGATAAACGTAATAACGGTGCATAAGCAGGAAAGCTGACCAAATATTTGACACGGACCTCATCTCTTGTAGCATGATGAAAATCAACTTTCAAACTTTTTAGGGCTTGCACTTCTGGCAGCGGGATGTCTAGGACTTCATAATACAGAATATCACATACCTGTAAAGAGATCGACAATAATAATGAGCATCAATAATACATGATACTTATACAAGTGAGAGTTAAATAACAGTGACAACTTAATACAATGGCACCTACTAGATAGTAATGGATGAGCATATATTTTAATTGCTCTACTCCCCGATAATTGATCGGTAGAGACTTAGGTTGTTGAGAATAGCAGCTATGAGCAGTGAGTCTGATTTTGGTAGGATCTTCTAAACCAATTTTTCCAGCCACCTTCTTCACCACATCATCGTAAGTGTCTAGCCTTGACCTAGAAAACAAGGAAAAAAAAAAAAAAAACAACAGTTATACCACTGACTAACACAACAATGATGGACTCCAACTATGAGGGACAATGGTTCCTGACAGAGTTACTTACAACTCCAAAATAAAATCATCCTCTGTCGGTTTATCCAAAGAACGGAAATGAACGATCTATAGAGCACCAAATCATTCAATATAGTTATGTTAAAAAAACCAGGCTTACTCTTATAACCAAGTAAAAGGAGGTGAAATAACCATGAAAGCTTCCATTGCATGTACCCGGCGAAAGCGTACATATTCCAAAAACGAAGGGACATCAAAATATTTATAATCTTGATTAAATTCATGTGTAGTGGATTTCTGAAAGCATATAATGTCCCCGTCTTGAAACTGGATAGGAAGACCACAAAACAGTTAACCAGCAATACACCTATAGAGGCGTCGAGACAGTAAATTCCTATAGCACTCGTTTACAATACGCCATGCATGAAAATAAAAACACTTACCTGACTTAATCGAAATGAGGTCCTCTTGTCAATATGATCACCGATTACACTTGGCCCGAATTTTACTTCCTGAATGTAGGCATAAAAACAGATGCATTTTTTTTACATAAGAACGCATACATACATCATACTTATATGTATATAATGTAAGTTATGGCACAGTTGATGCTAAAAAATTAATGTGAAGCAAACCTCATAAAGTTCAATCTCTTCCTCAGGAGAAAAACCGACTATTTGATTTAGTTTTGATAAAATTTCTATTGGCTCACTATCCAGCTTCACAAAAAGCCTACCAACAAAACTAGTGACACAAACAAAAAGCTTTCATCAGGTGGAGGTTTATAGGTCTAGTGATAGAGAGCATTTGCCCCTACACGTATCGCCAGAGTTTAAATCCCACCTCCCTGGATTTCGTGAAAAAAGTAATAAATTAATGAACAAAAATGAAAGGGAGAAAATACTATAACCAAGCAACAAGAGCCAGAGGGACCAGTACCGTAGTTCTTGTTTCTCTGGTTCATAAAGCTTAAAGAAAAGAAGGATATCTTCGTTGGTTTTGTCAGGCAGAGGAATAGGACGTAGATCCTGGAGCAATGTATAGAAGCAGTGGAATCATAAGAAGATCTATTTCATGTAATTATAACTGCAATAAGCCAAAAATCATGGCTGAAAATAGTAATGCAAGAATGGATTACCAGCCCAAAATCTGCTTCCAAAAACAATCTTAGCTCTGAATAGTCCCCTAACCGCAGGTGAAATTCACGCGGTACATTTACCAGTTGTCCAACCTACGAAGCACAAGTGGACATCATAAAACACTATTAATCATTTAAAATCTAGAGACAAAGAAAGAGGGAGAGAGTCCCATTGACAATTAATTAATACTGAAATGAAGAATCGTTACATGAAATTACAACAAACAAGACTCACTGTTAAAACCAGGTGGGGGAAAAATAGAAAGTCAGACACAACGAGAATCATGAATTAACAAAGGAACAAGTAACAAATCCAGGGATAAATCAGATAGGGTAGGAGCAGGGAGTATAAAGTGTAAGTAAATACTGTTTGTGATTCTTCCTCAGGTGTCAATGGTCGATGGAGGCGATATGTGAAGTTTTGTCTAGTAGTCCAAAACCAGAAGCGCTGAAATTGCACTGGAATACCAAACTCTTTAGCCACCACCTCCTGTGAACCATTTTGAAAGTAGAAATCAGTTGCACTTACCGTCACCAGTCCCATAACCCCAAACGAGGGAGAAAGGAAAAACAAGAAATGAAAGCACAAAAGTGAGTTTGGACTACTGTACCTTGAAAGCAAAAAAGGGATGCTTTTTCGGAATGAAGAAACCTTGGACTTTGTCATGGTCTACAAGGTCAAAATGGAAATCCCTTCCAATCTGTTCTGCCAGGTCCTCATCTCGAGCAACCTAACCATATAAACAAAGTTCTTCTTCCATGAATTTGATGTATACCTAGTGCATGTACTAGCACTTTTGAATAGAAATACTAAAAACGCGGATAGACAGGAAGCTTTTACCTTAACAAGAGTATAAAGGTTTGCTAAAACCTTTTCTCTTCTTTCCTCTTCCTCTTTTTGTTCGTTATTCAACCGTATCTGAAGTGAAACAAGCAATGGCAGTTCAGTTTCTTAACTGGACACTTGATTTAATTTTAACGAAAAAAATTGCATACAAAACATTTATTTAGGGGGTTGCGGTGGGCGCACATACCGCCCAAGAAAAAAATCTTGTCAAGTTACAACACAGACTCATGTTTTAGCATGCATGTACCACCTCCATTAATTTTTGTTAAACATTTAGTCAAACATATAATCTATAGCGCATTTGAGCACTTTGTGAAGGGTAACTTTGCTATTTAACGGCCCCAAGAGACTGCAAAAATTCAATTGACCGAAGGTCGTGGGATATATCTTCTACTTCCTCGGAGACAAGCTGTAGTCAATGAAATTCTTATCTCAAGTCGTCTAGGGGTCTGTAAGTGTTTGAAATACCTATCAAAAAGTGCTCAAAAAGTGTGCAATACTTGATATTAATAGCAGAAAAGACAACCTCAGCTTCAATCACGACTGTATCATTCACCAGATAGCCCATGCTAGGCTCATAAAGCTCATCAAGAGGCATGAAAAATAAATATCCCCACTCACTCTCTCTTGCATTGAACATGTGTTTTGTGCCTGCAGCATCATACAAAGAATGAATAACGGTTAAGATGCACACAAAAATCAAGATCCTTCTGATTAGATTAAACACATTTCAAATTATAGTTCTGTTGCGTGAGTAAGGTTCTTTAACTTTTCCATGTTGCCTCAATGTTTTCCTCATAAGCGAACAATCGAAACAATAGCATGAACCATTCAAATTCCAATCTAGTACACATGCTAGTAATAGCTAGGTAATTAAGCATTCATTCAAATGTATACTAACCTTGCACAGAAAAAGGTAACTCTATTCGACCCAAGAATTTTCTTAGTTTGCCCTTCCAATTTTGTTGGCGAACTACGTGATCTATCCTCAATTTTCTTATACTTTTTTCAACCTTCAAACATTAAATTTTTTTGGTACCACCATTGGATAGATGGCCAGGCCATCATGCTTCCCAAATGTGAAGGTGTTATAGAGAGGGTGAAAGTTCTTTGTCCCATTTTTGTTTTGGGTTTTAAGGGATAAATTCGGAAGTTCATGCTTCCAAATGAAAACATGAAAAACCTCGAGGGGTGATTGTGTAAATAAACGAAGCGAGAACACAAATTCAAAATGCCAAAAGGAAATAAGGATGATAAAAATGAAATATACCCCGTTCTATTGAGTATGTGCTATCGATTTGATTAACTACAGTCAAGCTGAACGTCGCACATTTACACCACTTGTGTGGCAATGTCTCAGAATACGCCACATCTAAAAACAGGGACAACCCCTTCACATTGTTTCCCCTTGGAAACATTTGTATCCGCCTGTTCAAACATTCCAAAACAATCAATATTCCATCAGTAACATATAACTAAGCCAACTTAACGAGAAAATCTGCCATATCACCCATTATATACAATCACGTGCCCATCACTCCCATCACGTGATGATTGTACATAACGGATGATAACAAAAGATCTCACCAACTTAGCACGCATATAGATTTTCGGCCCTAAATAGAAAAGAAACACCGGCGCAATACACTAAAAGACCCCTAACCAAAATGAAGGCACATACACCAACTTTTGGACTAGTGGTTGGAAAGGGGAAATTTACCATTTATAATCACCAGCAGTGAAGACAGGAGAGTAGATCTTCTCTGCGCTCAGGCTAGTAAAGTTGAAAATTTTCCAAGTGAAATCTACGGGTGGAGGATCCAGGTCCTCCATTTCCGCTGCTAACAACACACACAAACACCATAAATTAAAAAAAAAAAAAATTGCAAAGAAAAATTCGATTATCGTTTCATTTTTTATTTTTTATTGTCATAAAAATAATTCAATTAATTAAGGTTCGTTTAATAACTACTTTTCGTGTGATACAAGAAAATCAACATATATTTGATTTTATAAAAATTAAAATCAAATAAGAAAACGAAATGGTTATTAAACATGTCCAATAAAAAATTATTGCACCAAACTACCACAAAAATCAAATCTTTTTAGATGGATTAAGCAATTTTAAATAGAAAATGTGAAAATCGTTAAATTGATGAAATTTTAAACCTTCAATTGGCAGAGAGCCTCCGACCAAATCCGAGTGCGGTGCAAGCATTGTTTCGTCCGCTTCCATCAGAAGATCTAATCGAGCAAAGAAATGCCAGTCGAGTCGGTTTACGTTACGGATTCCTTACCCGACCCGCTTTGATGGTATTACTCACACCCGGCCCCGTTAGACTGCTACAATTTCATTTTTCGCTTGGCGAATTAATTTTAATTTGATAAAATTTGAAAAATCCTACTGTTTTTATATGGTAGCTCAGCTGTCTAGAGCAAAGGACTGAAAATATGAACTTTTGAGGATTTTACTGGTCTTTGCTTATAGATTTTGTTGCTTATAGATTTTGATGTGTTTTTGTATTTTGTTTAGATATTTCTTATCATTTATCCATTTATTTATTTTTAAATACAAAATATAAGAGAGAAAAATAGAGAAAGAAGAAAAGGATACCAAATTTGCTCTTAACTAACTTTTTGGACAACACGGCCGCCATATGGACATATGTTGATATTTGAATTTAATCAGTTTTGTAACTGAGATTTGATTAGTTTATTTTAGCCAAATGTCTATTTATTAATACAACGATTACACTATCACGTACCTAAGATCACACTATCACATACATGCCATGTTAACCCATTTGTGATCCATTCAACCATGTTCAAGTAATCTGACATACTGCCAACAACAAAAAATATTAAACCCTATGATGCTAAAAATCAAGAAACATAAACTGAAAACGATAAAAGCAGACGTTGCCAAAACAAGTGCCATTAACCAACAAAAATAACAATCGTCCACGAGTAAACGCAATAAGGAGAGGTAGAAGCGTAAAATGTAAAGAGCTGCCTCACTTCTGAGTAACTTTTTTTAGACTACATTTGAATGACAATGTGAAAACAATTAGGTTTCTTGAATTACTCGTAACTCATTGTACGAGTTGTGTGGTTGAAGAAATCTGAGATCCTTTATATTGACACACCCCGACCGAAATCAAGGCGTGCTAGCTGTCACGTGAGGGTGATGTAGCCATATGCACAGTGCGGAAGCAATAATAATAATAAAAATGCGAATAAATAAAAACCAACTACTAGCAGTACTAGCTAAGATAACATGCTAGTGCGAGATTAAGTGTGAATTCACAACTAGAGCATAAGTAGCCTAAGTGCAGTCCAGCTAACAAATACTAATTATACAACACCCAAGGGTGACCAAACAATGGTGATAATCTGTCAGAGCTGCCGTGGATTTCTCGCAAGACAGAAAGTGTGAGTGGGCAAAAACAAAACTTTTCAAAATCATTTCATTTCTCAAAAGTTCTAACCCCTCGCCGTAAAACCTGTATAATTTCCCAGAAAATAGAATATATACATATATCGAAACCATACCCGAATTAGCAAAATCCACATATATGTCATGTCAAATATCTCAGCATAAAAATATATGTAAGTCAGGTAATATAAATTAATGCAAATGATATATCAGCCGAAGTCACCTAACATGACTTGTACGGCTGAATCTAGAGCTCATCCATCTAGCCGAAATCACCTAACGTGACCTGTACGGCTCAAATCCACATCTCAACAAATATACCTGCACACGAGTCGGAACACCTAAAGTGGTTTGTATGACAGGATTGGGTGTAAATAAATACACTCAAGTGCTATGATCACGTGAAGACTATGCGAATAATCACGGGTCACCTATGAGTTGAAACCACCTATAGTAGTTTGTACGACAGGACTGTGCACCTAACTTGGATCCAAGGTGAGCGTATGATACGGGAGGTGAACATCACATGAAGTACTGTGCCCTAACTCTGGGAGGAAGCACTAACATGGGGGTGCAGGTTTATGAGCTCTCAACACATCTCACATAATCATCAATTACATAAACAATCTACAACTCACCTGGTACTTACCTAAGAGTCCACAACATCAAATCAAAATATGCACACTATATTAATTCAATGATCTACGTATAAATCAATATGCATGGCATTCCTAAACATAATTTCATTTAAATCGATTTTTTTGGAAAAATATCAAGTATATAGGTATATACGGAAAACCAAAAGCCCACTCACTGGTATGTGGAAGGGTCGTAGCCCCCAAGCCTTGATTGACTGCGCTCGTCATGATGATAGGTCTCACCTATATGCGAAACAACTGCATAAACGTTAATTTAAAGGACAAACCAAAACTAGGTAATAACTTCTCAAACATTGCTCAAATGGGGTGTTTGAATATACCAACGTGATCTACTCAACACCACGAACATCCCCATATTTTTAGAAAAATTTTCCGACCATCCACGCGCTGCCACGCACCAGCCATACGCAGGCACGTGCCTGTCACACATACGGAAACCCTAACGGTATTAGAGAATATTTCGTCCAACAATGGAATATACCGTTATATATGCCTGACGCCGTTAGTATATTCTGTCAAAGTTGACGGAATATTCTTCGTCTTCTCTGGTGATCCTCGCCAGAACCGCCGCTGGCCGCTGTCTACGTCGCCGAAAACTGGAAAAACTTAGAACTTCAATATCTTCTTCATTTCTCAACCAAAAACCATGAAATTTGTACCAAAATGAAGCTGACAACGAGTAGTACAAAACCTTACCACTTTTAGGACTTAAATACAACGGAATCTCGCCGGAAAAACCCACAATAATCCGGCCAAACTTGAAACTCGCCAAACTCAACTTCCCGACGTCCAAAACACTTTGTTTTTTCTTCTCCGAGCTTCGTGAAGAGGTTCTAAAGTCCCTAGAAGCTTAAAAACTTCCAAAAACTTCACGATCACGATTGCATGAATAGTACCCAAATCGGAGCTCGCGAGAAACTAGGGTTTTTGAAGGTTTTAAGTCCAAACAAAGGTATGGATCAACTCCTAGGCTTGGAAGGAATTTGAATGAAACATAACATATTTGCATGATTATTTGGTGGTGGATAGCAATTCCCCTAACTCGTTTTTCTTAATTTGTGAACTACTTAAAATATGTTTTTGTCCTGTTTTTGTTCAATTTAATTTAAACAGCAAATCAACTCCAAAATCCAAAAATTTGTGTGACTGTAGCTCTTTGTGTCTAGTGTTTTCATATAAAATTTCGTAGACTTTAGATATGTGTAAGTTGGTCTAATAATTATTTTTCGGTGGCTGGTCAGTAGGGACAGCAACCCAGTTTTTGTGACATTTTAAGTAGTTAGATAAAACAATATTCTGTGGGAAAGACCCTTATTTTCATATGCTACAATTGACAAATCTTAGTGTTAATAAGGAAAATCAATAGGACATTTGTGTGCTACTTTGTGGTGTGCTTTTAATCCTATCAAATACATCATTCACAACGATCCATGATCCGAGAGAGGCACCTTTTTGTACTTACAATTCTAAACTAAAATCCCCCTCTTTCAGTTTCCCCAAAGAACGGAAGTGTACGATCTGGAAAGCATCAAATCCTTCAATATATAGTTAGATTTAACATTTAACAAAATACAGGAAGCACTAGAAACACAGGAAAAGTAGGCGAAAAATTCATGCCTTACTGTGATGATAAATAGCGCTCTGAACTTAAGACCAAGCAAAACTTTGCGCAGCCGGTACCTAGAGCTTGTGTACATACTGGAGAGGAGTAGATATCTGACTCACTCCAGCCTTTGGCATCTCATGTATGGAAATTACAACAGCAGAGACATTTAGATAAAAACAAAAAAAATTTCGAAGCTTAAAACGTAGCGCCTTTTATAGGGTTCGTACATGAATCTGAAATGCCAACTTAATACACATTAGATCTTTTAAGAGACATAATTTACGGCAACTAATACATAAATTATTAAGGGGCCAGCTTTACTTAATATGCTTTTGAACTGGTTCCTGCATTGCATTAACTATAGTTCAAGACAACGTTGGACTATCAAAGTTGTGCAAGAGTATTGTTTGGATCAAAGCATCGAATGGCTAGGTTTCATTTATTTGAACACTTATACATAATTTCGAGCCAAGATTGGCCATTCACATGAGCAAAGTTACTAAAATTTAAAGAGCTGTTCAAAGGTTACTAAAACTGTAAGTACTTTTTCAGTACATCTTGTACGACGACCCAGGTTCCAACAGGGCCACACTTTTGTAATGTCAAGGTGGCATGCCTGACAATGAAGTTTTCGGATTCTGAAGAGCTATCTGCGAAGCTTTGCTTAAGAGGCTCCATTTCATCCACTGCACCTTTTAGACTTTCCATTGCCCCCGCTCGTTCTGCCTTTACCCGGGCAAGTTCAGCCTCGAGTTCTTCAACCTTGGCATCATAATTGGACACAATGTCTTTGCTCTCTCTCTCTGCATTTCTGCATGGCCAGTTCCATTCGAGTTTTGATCTCTTCATGTTGGGCTGCAAACACTTCGCCACCTTGGGAAAATTCCTTTTCTGCAGCCACAAACTTAGACATGTCACCCTCCAAAGACGCAAGAAGATCCTTAAGCATGGAAGTGATCCTCAAAGGGATCGTCCCTTGTTCAGTCAAGAGTTGGAAGGGCTGCTGAACTCCTCATAAGCCCCATCTTTGCAAGGACTGGCTAGACTGTTCCTTGCCTGGCAGGTCACCGTGTTTAATGCAGCCAAAGCCTCAGCTGATGGTTCACTGGCTGAAGTGGACTTCAATTGTTCCTCAGCAGCAGACAGTCTGCGCAGAGTTAGGTCATCATCCTTTGGAGAAGAATAGCCAGCTAGGTATTGGACGCTTCACACGGGTATTTGGTGGCCATCATTTTGTGTATCAATTTTTCTGCTGGCTGTCCCATGGCCAAAATTTGTGGCCATGGACTCTAAGGTCACTTGGGCGGCCTGCATCACAGTCCGTAACTAAGTACAAATTACAGAGATTAATTTTACATCTTGAATGTGGACCAGTTGGATTCTTACCTCTCCTTGTGGAGTTGCTGGTGAGGTCCAAGTGGTTGGTAAAGACATGGTTAACGCTGGGATCTCATCCACCCTTGCCTCAAGGAGAACAGCTTCCTACATAAAGGCACAAAATTAGCACGAGAAGCTGGTTTCATACAATGATCAGTTTAAGAATTTAGCAAACTTTTACCTCAGCTTGTTCT